ATATATATATATATATATATATCCAAGGTGCAATTTAAGAATCTGAATGATTGAATTCCAATTTAGAGACTATGGCAATTCGAAACCGCAGAAAATAGCGACGCGGTTAATCGAGGTAGTAGGTGTGAGCGACGCTGGTCACGTTGAATTTAGAATTTCAAAGCAGGGTTTCTTGTCAAGCCGAAAACAGGGTCGACATAGTGGAAACACTAAATCACGCGATATCGCTTATTAGCTGCACTTGGAAGTTTTGCGGTACCGGCCCGGTTCGAGGAAAATCCGCCATGTGTCTGTCGCGCGACACATATCAGCGTGATCGAAGGACGTAATTTACGGAACGCGATGATCAACGACGAAACGTAATTAAAATCGCGTTACAGTTTCGCTGCAATTCGATTCGGTTCGATGCGATCTGGGTTCTTGTCGAACGTTGGAACTGCGTTTCGAGGGTTAGTAGGTCTGTATTCGATAATCGGTGAACGTTCATAGTGTGCTCAAAGCTGTTTGTTTTTATTGTTTAATAATTGTATACTTAACTATTTCAAAGATGGATATTAAAGTTTTTTCGTGAGACGTGGTTAATTAAAAAGTTTGTTACGAATGAATTGTTTCGTTTAGATACGTTTGTTTCTTATTAAAATGTTGATTTAATTATTGAATAATATATGTATCGACCGTTGTATTTTATTTGAAGTTTACAACAAACGTATGCAGTTGAATGTTTCAGAGCACAGAAGTGTCAATGTATCAACTAATGAATATTCTGTTCGTTGTCATATTCTCTACTTATCGCTGTTGTTTTTAATTGTTAATTATCGCCACGGTGTCCCTATTTGCGTAGATAACGAGCCGAACACGGATGTTTGAAAAGCTGATAATTCTTTCGCGATATGTAACGACAGCGGCGAGTCTGCATTTATCGTTTCCATCGACGTTCGCGTAAACCGTGTCGATCAATGGCGGATCAGGACTCTGCCGCGGATCTCCCGACTCGCCACTATTGCAAACTAATTTGTTCCCGGAGATGCAGAGCGATCGTTGCATCAGAAAGTTATCCTGCATTAACGGGAACGTTCCTCCCATGAAACATATCGCTGAAGTTTCCAATTTGATGAAAGCGTTATCTCGTGGAGGACTATAAACGCGGCAGGACATGAAAAACGCCTCGACCTTTCTATTCGTTTCCGAGGGAGGTCACAAACCGATACACGCTGCCTTTTCTCGTGTCAACGTGAAGAATGTGTAAAAGAGGCTGCGATCCACACCAAGGGGTAGTTTCTCAATCATTAATAACTCTTTGAAGAAAATGGTTAAATATAATAAAGAAAGAGTGGAAAGAAAGTTCGTCTATAATTAAACAAGGTAAAATAAACTTGTCAATCAAGGAATACAAATTAACTTGTTACTTACACTCGACTCCATGTTCCCTGTACTAAATGCAGAATGTATTTTTCATTTTCCTATTCGTCACGTTAAACACCTGTTTTGAAATCTAATTTCCCAGCAATGCCTCAAAGAGAATGCAAAATACACTGCGTCAGAATATATCGTTCACAAAACATATATAACTTCTCCTAATAACATTCTACATAAACTTGCATTCCTCGATCAGTTAAAACATAGGAAACAATAATACAATTCGATTAGGGGTGTATCAGTCCATTCACCGTACTCACCGATCTTTTAATATATCCCAATCTTAATCAAAATTGCAATTCACTATGCACATCTATCGATACGATACAAAAACAAACTTTTCGAATTTACACGGGGGAACTCGATCCACGAGGGAGACGGAATAAAGTTCCCGCGATCGACCTGTCGCGGTGGAAAAGACAGATGTGACGATTGAGGCTTGTAACGTTCACTGGATTTTTTATCGTAGCCGGACGGAAGCACGTGTCGCGATTATAGGACGCGCGAAGGAGGTGAGCCGCGGTCTGATAATCACGCGGCCACGGAGCACGGGGAGTCGTTTTGCGGCGACTATTTCCAGAGAGGTGGCGAGAGGAGGCAGGAAGCCGCCAAGAGAAAGGGAAACGCCGCTCGGGAAGAAGAGCGAGGAGGGGTGGCGCGCAATAGGGTGGCGTGCACGTTTCAAAAAGGGTGAGGGAAAGTGTATCG